GACACTGCTGCCCTTGACAGCACCAGGATTAACTCGTTCGTGGCCGCAGGCTCCGTGGGAAATGCGGGCGCGTCACGCCGAGGGCTTCTCCCATTCCCAGCAGCGTTCGCGGGAGGCGGCTGCTGCCCTTCCCCGCCCGGCTGCACAGAGAGGGGCAGCGCTGGGCCACTGGGGCCGGAGGAGCGGCGGCTCTCGGGGCAGCGGGACGGCGAGGAGCCCTCCACAGAAAGGCGGCTCCCTGTCGGGGAGGCAGCAGCGTGCCGGGGAAACGGGGACCCGCCCCGGCCGCTCCCGCAGGCTGGGCTGGTGCAAGGAAGCGCAGCCAGCGCCTGGCTTGCGCTACTGCAGCGAGGCGCTGCAGGCACCAGGCGCGACCCTGAGCAAGTGACCCCCGGCCCCTCCCCCCAACATCGACACTGCCCTTCGCCCAGTAGTTGCACCAGAAGCCTAGAAGTTTCATCCTTCTTTTGCCCCCACGCACTGCTCGCCAGCTCGCCCCTTGTGGGGTTTGCAAAGGACCCCGTTATAAACCGGAATCCAACTAAGGAATGAGCCCCAATTACCCGAGCCCCCTTCCTACACAACAGGTTGTGAGTGCCTGGCCCTCCGGAAACAGACACAGCTCGCCGTGGACTTCCCTGCTACGCTCTTATTTGTCCCTTGTATGAAATCTTTGTTTTGGTTCTGCAGCCTCCTGTCTCTCCACCGATTCATTGCAATGGGTCTTGCTACAGGCAGGTTTATGCTGTTCCCTGCACACCCCAAACACGTGAACGGACAGCCACTGACACAAGCAACAAACAAGGTTGCTACAAAACATGCAGCTGCGTAGGACAGGTCTAAAACATTCAGCTGCATAGGAAATGTCTAAGATGACCAAGCAATGTCTCACCCCTCTACACTTGTTTTAAAAATACACATCTTGTGGATGCAGTTTAGATAAAAATACCTTTTAGGTACTGAATATGGTCTGAAGGTTCAATTCTCATATCGGGATTGATTGCGCCAATGTACGTGGAACAGTGAATAAACTTCCTGTTGGACCATTTAACATTTCCTCTTCCAGAAAAAAAAATCAACTGGACAATAAATACATGTTATCCTCAGAATGACGAAGTACTTCCAAAGGGCAAGAGACACAGAGGTCTCTGGATCATCAGTACCACTGAATCATGCGCACGCGGAGTGATAAAGCTGGAGAAATGCACAGTCAAAAAAAAATCAAACTGACATTATTCGGCGAGCTAATAAACACCAATACAGGTATTTGTCATCCGAGGAAGAGAGCTATTTGTCTTCGATGTCCCATTAGTCAACAACAGAGGTTAAATAGTGTACCATTTAGTGCATTTTCAGATCCAATCCATTTTGTTGTAAGCATTCCTGAACAGAAATCGGTACATAAAGGAAACGAATTTTAATTATTGTTAAAATATGCACAACACGGCTTTTGATTTTGAGACTGAATTAGTTTCTGTTTCCTTAAATGTATATGGTAATTATTGCCTACACATTTACACTGCTAAGAAAAGATCGATCCTGATGACTTGCATAGGTTTGGAAGATGTGTGAACACACGTTAAAAAAATCTCAGAATCTGAGTGAAGTATGAAATCATCACAGAGAGAGAGAGAGAGAAAGATTCGAATTATCACAGTATAAGAAAAGTGCAAACGAAAAGGGGAAGGGGACTGCAATTGTGTGCAGCTCTGTGTGACCTTAAAAAATCTCTACGCGATTCTTTACGTGACCTTAAAAACGGGTGCTGAGTTAAATAACCGATTTACAGACGTCTGAGAAACTGATCCGCCCACTTCAAAATACTGCGTGCCGGAACCTCGCAAACATTTTAGGACTTCAGCCCGAAAAATCTGGGTCTTTTTTCCACCACCCGTATTTCTGGATTAAGAACAACAAACCCGACGTTCAAATGCTCTGATTTTAATAAAAGGCAAGGCAGGATCTATTGTCAAAATTTGCACTCGAGAGAGATTCTCCAGAATATTTTCTATCTAAATGGCAAATTAATCAAATGTTAACTACAATACCCGCTACAAATTAACTTAAAGCCAAAAATCACAGTGACCTTCACAGGACGTGATGGTGCACAAATTAACACGTTTTCTTTTTGCCGGCAAGTACATTTTTCAGACGTTAACAATGGACCTGTGAAAATAACAGGTGACTCGAGCAGAGCGGCGAGGAGTCGCATGAAACCGATTTGGAGAATGCAGCCGTTAGAATACAAATGTTATTTACCTTGTGCTTTTCTCTGCGAGTGAGTTGCTTTATTGTCCCTCCCCATCCTCTGTCCATAATGCAGAACCAACCCCCACCACAACAATGCTCCGTCAGTGCTGGGGCTATTACTGAAGGGCTCGTGTTCTTGGAGATTTCGGGCGGCGGGGGGGGGGGGAGGGGAGGGTTGCATTAAAACTTACATTAGGAATATTTTAATTTGCAGTGTCTGTCCTTCGCCTGGCTGTGGTGCTGAGATCGCACTATGCTGTGCCTCCCTCCCAGCATAGCATTTACTCACGTTCGAGAACAGCCAACAGAGACCCAAAAAGGGAACTAATTGGGCTTGTGTCGATATCGGCTAATTTCTGGTAATACTCTGTAAATTCTCCTTTTCCTCCTTACCTTCCCCCATGCAGGCAGGGTTGTTAGAACGCTAACTCGGGCGGTACAGTAGCCTGTTTTCCGCTATCCATCTGGTGAGCGGGGGTTCAACACGAGCCTCAGTGTACACAATTAAAAAACTTCACTCCTGCTTTAAGAAACAGTTAACTTGTCCCTCCCATGCCCCAGGCCCCGTTATGACTGATTCTGTCTTGAAATGTCAACTTGTTCCCACCAAGTCCAACCTAACTCAAACGGTCTCTAAAGTGAACTTGTGTTGAAGGTGAAGTTTTCAATGTAGGGGTCACGACACTGAGGCACAGCTTACCGCCTGGAGCTTCATGCTGTATTAAACACAATCACAACGAACCCCCTCCTCGACCACTTTTCCCCCTGCAGTTGAATAATGGCAACATCTCTAAAATATAATCAAATCAAATCTTGCAAGGATAATAAACCCAGACTCAATACTCCTTGGATAGCTCCTGTCAGCGAATTATACTATGTACGTGTGTCTATAGACATAGCTATAACACACACACACACACACGTTGTTTTACAGTAACAGCTTCTTAAAGGGAAACCTGTGTTTCCTGCCTTTAGCGAGCCATTCCTCTCCTATAACAGAGGTGCCCACGACAAGCTTTATTGCAAGTGCCCACAAGAACAAGGAGTTGCAAATCCGCTCGCCCTGCAGACTTTGATTTAACGCCTTGTTGGCTGGTACCGCCGTCAGTCCAATAACCACCAGAAGGAAAGTTTGAGCCATGTACAGAGGTGACCTGAGAAACTCAACTGTCCTGCCTTTTACTTTGGAAAGTGTGTGGACTCGACACAATTACAGCTCCTCTACTTCAATGGTGGTTTCTCTCTATAGCGACTTCTAGCTTCCCAAAGACGGCAGGCTCCTTGAGCTATTGTTATTCATAGCAGAGATTTAGCAGAAATATATATATATTAAATCTAGTTATTTGTTGGGTAAACATGGATCTTTCGAGTGCAAAGGCATCTAGAGCCAAACAGCTGAAGAGCGGAGTCCAGACCCAGAAACTTTTATTACTTTAATGGGTCTCAGTCTATGAAAAATAAGTTACAAATTCTTGCAACAGTAGCTTTGCATGTACTTATTTTTCTCCCATGTCCAGACGGGGTCGTCTATTGAATAAGGCTCTTTTATTCTGCATGGGACAGGGGATTTGTGGCCATGGTCCCCCTTTTATTCCTCTCTCTATGGAAACCCAGATCATGGGGAGAAATATGCGAGGCTGAATAAAGAAAAGCAGCAGAAAGGACCGCTTGAGAGCGGCATCTGTTACACTTGGGAAGTTAGACTGACAGGAAAGAGCTAAAGAAACCCTCTCCAGCAGATTAGTTAGAACAGCAAGAAGATTTAACTATATGCAGATAAAAAGACTTTAAAATAAAGCATATTCTCGTATAGACGAGATCAGACTCTACCAGGAGCTCACCTTTATGGCGCTGGCTTCTGGCTTGGTTACATTTTTAAAAATATTAAAATCTGATATTCAGGGTTTTATTTCCCCGTTAAAGGCTCTACTTCAATTAAACGGCTGATGTGAACATTCATTTTCAAGAACAGAGGGGACTGGAAAAAATATTTTAGACTCTAGAGTGCAAATTAACTTTAAATAATTTAGTTACATTTATAATACAGTAGTAGTTCTCCCCTCCCCGCCCACCCGGCATCAGGCAGCGGTAATATTTATGTTAAAAGTCTTGTCTGATCTATTTTCATATCTTTCCATACATATGATCAACCGCAGTCTGACCGGCTGGAGTCTGACTAGGAATTTTGCCGTCAGAAATGTCGCTTTGAAACGGGCAAAGGGGCTATCGCTCTCTTTTGCAGAGACATTTTTCATCTTCTGACCTCTCAACTGACCCTTCACAACACGCTTTCCAACGACTTTCCAAGCGAGCCGCCTCCCCTGCACCTGAAAAGTTTCCCGAAGTTCGATTTTAGAGGCAGCCACCAACAAATACTGCAACTCTCAAAGAGGGCAGGGACCCCACCTCGCTGCAAAAGTGGCCTCGAAATAAATAAATGCAATACAATAAACGTTTAGGTTAAAAGCGGCGAAAAAACCCTGAAAATGGAGCACCATCCATACAAGAATGGCATTGCCCTTTATGGAAAAGCACGTTCCTAATTCGGTAGAAAACACAGAGGAAATGAGCATCTTTCTCCATAACTTATTTTTCAGAAATATCGAAATCTATTTCAAACAACTTACCACAGGCATCTTTTTAGAAATTACATTCAAATTTACAAATATCAGATGTGCAGGTTTAGGCTTCAATGAGAAATTATTATTAATTATTATTATTATTATAATGAGGAAACGGATGCTGCTTACCTATAAAGGAATCAGAGGAAAGCTCACCTTGTTTATATACAGAGATATATAGTTACATATATTCATTTTCTTGAATTTTCTCCAGATCTGTCTTCTCAGAGAAACTAATGCCTTAATGACTTTCTGGTAGCTGCAAGCCTTCTTTTATTTCTGCTAAATATATGAAAATGTATGCAAATTTAAATCAAGCTTAACCTAGGAGCTCTTGCAATATATTTAATGGAATTTCAAACCAATAAGGGAACTCTGATGCAGTCTTCTGTAAGTGCAAATATAATTACGCAGCTAGGTTACCTCCAAAATTATGCAAGGAAAGGTCATTTTTTAACTTCAGAGATTTTCTAAGGTATTAGGTGTTTAATTTTCTCTGCTTGAGCACTACAACAAATCTGAAATACTCAGATTTGTCTAACGCTACTCCTTAGCAGACCATTTGAAAGAGGAAGCATGAAACACAATGTCTTCCTCCAACCTAACTTACAGATGATTTGAAATTGAACTTGAGAGAAAATTTAGCATTTCCCATTCTCTCTCACACACTCATTGTTTTGCCTGGTCACCAAAATATATTTCCCTTTTCTTACTTGCACCGAGCAACATAAAATTCATATACCTACGACAGTGTTTAGTGAAGATACACCTCATTAATTTCTTTTTCTATTTCAAACTTTGATGGAGAAGAGAAATCATTATAATTTATTTAAACAAATATTGGAAAGCACCTTTTTATTTCCTAAATGGGCAAAACGTATCCCAGTGAACTAAATTATCCGGAAAGAGGAAATATATTGTACATATTTTGGAGCCTTGCAGAAGTGTGTCGCCCAGAAGGAGTGCTTAGTGGCTGTGGGATTTAGAAGTTGTCGAACTGCTGATATGAAATGACATGTAATAGGCATAAAAGCAAGGACCCCAATTGACCAGACGATCGGGGAGAATAACTGAATGCTATTAATAGCTTGTAAGGTTTGTATTTAAATCAGGGAAGCGGTTGACTGTTGGTTAACAAACAACAAAATAAAAATTTAAATTCGTAATAAAGCTCTGCCCTCCAGGAAATATTCCCTTTAACCCGTTTTAAATCCTATTTTAGGGCAGGGTATATTCATTAATTTTCCTGATTATAGGATATGGACCTTAAATGTAAAGATTGAGACGTGGTGGCTTTTAGGTGTCGGGGGGGGGGTTGTTTGGGTGTTTTGTTTGTTGGGGGATATAAATCTATAGTTTATCATCTCACAATTACCTTCATGTTGCATTTACAATGCTGGACCGATTGGGGAGTCCGTATGAACTGTGCTAAGGATAGATTGTCAGTCTTCGGTGCCGGCATTTAACCTCTGTTTTTTGCTGTACCTGGAATTAATCACTACAAATTTAAACCATGCTCTGTCATCCCCCCCTCCCCTCTCATAAGATCTTAAAAACAAATCTTGGCATGCAGTGAAGAAAGAGTTAAACAAATGAACCGTGGACAGCCAGCTAGCAGCAACCAATGGAGCCTAAAGATTGATTCACTTCCTGCTTCAGACTCACTTTAACTCCTGGGTTTCGCAAACCTAATTTGGACAGCGCGACCTGCCTCTTCACCCCTCATTGGTGCAGCCAAAGCTTCCCGACAGATGAAATGCTGTCATTGGCCAGCAGCGCTGCCAATAACTCAGTGGTTGCTGATTTGGCTCCCTTGCCTGGTAGATGTCAAAGGCTGAAGCTGCTCCCTTTGCCACATTATAACTAGTAGGGGACCTACACCAACCATGGCCACAGCTGCCTCTAATCCCTACAGCATTCTCAGTTCCAGCTCCTTAGTCCATGCAGACTCGGCGGGCATGCAGCAAGGGAGTCCTTTCAGAAACCCTCAAAAACTTCTCCAAAGTGACTACTTACAGGGAGTTCCTAGCAATGGGCATCCTCTCGGACACCACTGGGTGACCAGCCTCAGTGATGGGACTCCGTGGTCCTCCACGCTAGCGACGAGCCCCCTCGACCAGCAAGACGTGAAGCCAGGAAGAGAAGATCTCCAGCTTGGCGCAATCATCCATCACAGGTCGCCTCATGTGTCTCACCACTCGCCCCATACAAATCATCCCAACGCATGGGGAGCCAGTCCAGCTCATAACTCATCAATAACCTCCAGTGGACAGCCTATTAATGTCTACTCGCAACCTGGCTTCACAGTCAGTGGCATGTTGGACCATGGGGGTCTAACACCACCTCCAGCCTCAGCCACTACCCAAAGCTTGCACCCAGTGCTGAGGGACCCCGCAGATCATGGAGATATAGGCTCCCATCACTGTCAGGATCACTCTGACGAGGAGACGCCGACATCAGATGAGTTGGAACAGTTTGCAAAGCAGTTCAAACAAAGGAGAATCAAGTTGGGATTCACTCAAGCAGACGTTGGCTTAGCACTAGGGACTCTCTATGGCAATGTTTTCTCCCAGACTACTATCTGCAGGTTTGAGGCTCTGCAGCTCAGCTTTAAGAACATGTGCAAACTGAAACCGCTACTAAACAAGTGGCTAGAAGAGGCAGATTCATCTACCGGCAGCCCGACTAGTATTGACAAAATCGCAGCCCAAGGCAGGAAAAGAAAGAAGAGAACCTCGATAGAGGTGAGTGTCAAAGGGGTTTTGGAAACTCATTTTCTTAAATGTCCCAAACCTGCAGCCCAAGAGATCTCCTCCTTGGCAGACAGCCTGCAGTTAGAGAAAGAAGTGGTGCGTGTCTGGTTTTGTAACAGACGGCAAAAAGAGAAAAGAATGACTCCACCAGGGGATCAGCAGCAACATGAGGTTTATTCTCATAACGTGAAAACAGACACATCCTGCCACGATCTTTGACTATAGGGCTCGGCTCGCAGACAGGACTGGGAACAGCGCGGATTTTCTAAAGGGGGTTTTAACTTATGCTTAAAGAGGAAACAAAAACAAATACTCGAAGACTTAGAGCATGGGGCTTCCTGCTCTTCCGCCTGGGCAATATTTTCTCTCAAACCTTTTCGCTGATCAGTACATATTGTTTACTATCAAACAAGGTTTGTTTTCGGTCTCCACTAGGAAGAAAAAAAAATAAAGACAGATGTGTGCCTATGAATAACCTTCCAGCGCCTTGGTTATATCAGCTGTATTTCAGGTGAATCTGTTTTACAATAGACTAGTTTTGCATTTTTAAAGACTTATATAGCGTTTTTAAATGTCTGAGGTGTTTTACTACAAACTGTACACAATATTTGTGGCATAATTTGTACCGAATTGAGCAATCATTCCCCCCGCTCCATGTATTGGGCATATCACTGTTACTGTAGTGGGGAGAAGGGATAATTCCCTTCGCTCCCCTTCATTCCCCCAAATTCCATACTAGAGGAGTGGGGTCCCCCTTCTGCACCCCAAAGGCAGGAAATTGTGCCTCCTTTGACTGTAACACAGCTGACTGCCGCTTGCACGTTATGAAGAGTAACAGCCTGATTTGTTGTAGCTTTTCCTTCTATTCAAATAACTTCCTAAAACCACGAAACGGTCAGATTGCAGTTCTGAAATAACCCCCCCGACTCCCTGTTCCCTCCTCCACGGAGGCGGGGGTAGGGGGGGAGGAAGAGAGATCTGAAATTAAGCATTGCAAATAAAATAAAGGATGTGTCCCTTCTTTTCTTTCTGAAGCTGTGTTGGGCTTCTGATCAGCGGCAGACTGCGAAGGTCTGTAGTAAAACACCTTAATAATTCTGCGCTTTGGCTTCAGAAATCAGTTTCTCTGTATTTTTGTTTCAATATTAAAGAGGGATCCTGAGGTGTCGAAATGAATTTCGGGGAAATGCCCGCTTTTGTTTCATGCTGAGCTTATTTTCGTCTCACGAGGAAATGCTAGATTTGTTGAAAAGCTTTTTATTAAAAAAACAAACAAACAAAAAAAGGCAAGTGAATAAAAATGCTAAAAAAGTGTAACCATTTTTCTGGCATATGAAGGAGCTGTGCTTTATCCTTCCCTTCTTCCCAGCCCTCAGTAGAGATGTACTCTGTGTGTGTACACAGCTATGTAGTATGTATGTGTGTAAATATGTCTATACATACTATATATATGTGAGTGTATACAGATGTGTGTGTATATACAGCCATCTACACACACACGGAAAATCACCTATTATAAACGCACACAATGCACAAATATTGCTCCAAACACACTGTATAATGACTGTCTCCACAGAGGCGGGGTACTCTGGGCTGGATGTGTGCCCTGTGTGTGTATATATAGAATATAGTTATTGATACACTCCCGCACACAGCTCGCTATCTGGAGACCACCCCCCCCCAATCCATACTACCTAAAGGCAAGGCCAACCCTGCCTCCCCCAGTTTTTGGCTGAGCTCGGGGAGGGGGAGACATACCGGTAGCTAGGACGGAAGGCCCATGTTGACCCTGCTGCTTTGCATCCCTGAAGCTGCAGCTATATTAGCAAATTGCATTACTGCGCTCCCCAGATCTCTTCTCCCCCCCCCCCTTAAGATTTTCATTTTGACATTTATATTTTTCAAGTATTTTTCAGTACGCGCTAAAATCTCGACACTGAGGACCTGACTATTTCTGCCAACTTTATACCTGTACAGTTTTGTATATTAAACGTTTTTGGAAGTTATTAATTTAAAGACAGATCATTTAGTTTATTCGTTTAGTAACTGATGTATAATAAACGCTATTTTCATTAAAGGTTGCTTTTTTCAACTATTTTATTCAAAATTGCCTATTGCCGTTGCCCACGATTATTTATTTTCAATAAATTCCGCATTATGTTTAAAAAACACAAAAAAAAGGTTTCCAAAAGCCGAAATGGGTGTAAAAAAAATTATACACACACGATTCGCTGTCGTGTTTGATCGTCGACCAGTTTTAGTCCAGGGGTTTATATTGACGCAATATTTTATTGTTGTGAAAGGGGGAAAAAAGGGTTAAATAAACATTTTTACAAAAACAACGTTGCTTTATTTGCGTGGTGTATAAACTGGGACATTTCGGACAAACCTCAGCTCCGGCCTTTGGCTCATTGTAGCCCACATGTATTCTGATCCTTTCAATCTTTTATCAGGGCCCCCAAAGCTTCTCGGAGGAGATCCACCGTGGTTCTCCCTGGTTTTGAACCCTCCCCGCGCCGGGCAATGGGCACAAATCGACGAGCAACTCCCCGAGCCCAGCTCAGCGGGTGTCTGGCCACCGCTGGTCTCCTTTCGGAAAGGTCTGCCCCGGCCTTTCGCGGTGCTCTCCCGCCCGAGGGGCGCTTGGCTCGCCGGGGGGCTGCTGCCTAGCGGGGCTTGGGTGGCGTTGGTGTTGCAATATGGAGGGAGGCATTGCTTACTCCGCCTGCAGCCCAGCGCGGCCAGGGTTTGGAGACAGCGCGTTTCTGGGGTAGGGCTGGGGGACATGCTGGGTGGCTTGAGGCATTTGGTTTGTGTTTTAAACACGAGGGCGCTGTTGTTTGGTCTTTCTCCTCGTCCTAGAGGTAGCGACAGGGATTTCACTGGCAGCGATGGGGAAATATTTCGCTTGATGGTGGGGTGTGTGTATTCTACACAGAGTCACCCACTCCACATGGAGACACAGTGCAGGTGAGGCCTGTTCGTATTTTTGAAAGTATGGACTCTTATTCTGTAGCCGTGAAGTAGTGACGGCTGTTGGAGAGACGAAGAGACTATAACCATTTTTAAAAGGTAACTTTTCCTAGGAACAATAGACCTAGATTTTCCCGATCGTCTAAGACGGTGCAGTTGTACCCTACATTAATGCTATGTCTATAGAGATATCTAAATACAAATATGGTTTATATAGAAACACACCGTACGTAAGATGTATGTACACATTATATACACCCAGTGGAAAGGCTGATCCTTGTTTCGGTTTACAGTAAATGTCATTGTATCACTGGGTTGATGGTCCAGTAGGGGCCAATTGTGAGAGTATACACTCCTTCGTTCAATTTATTTCATCCAGACTTCAATACATTGAACAGATTAAAAAAAAATTAATAAAAGCATACTGATACCAGTAGGATGATGGCTCTATCTCCTCCCCCCCTCCCGCCCCCCAGCAGGAAGCAGCATGAATGAAGTTTCTTTTGTTACATATTTCTTGCCCCATGGGCTCACCCTCCCCATCTCCCCTAGAAACCAAGTGAAAGAGATGCCTGGGTCTGAGGGTTAGCTGCACGGATGCCTCTGCGGATGACCCTTGCCATGGAGGCAGCTTTAGGTTCAGATTGCTGCAGGTTCATAGTACGGGGGGGGGGGGGGCTCTGTCCCATGTGAACAAGAAGTGGAGTATTGAAAAACAACAGTTAATCATATCTAAGGGGGTGAAACTGGAAAGCTACATCCTCAGCACCTTATCAGAGCTATAGGAGCAAAATAAGTCTTGGGGGAGAGTAAGGGAGGAAGGAATGGCTAGACACCAGCAAACAAAGCCTAGCTGAATTGTTAGTACAATTTCATATATAGTCTCTCAGCCTGAGCTGGAAGAAAAAATACAACAGTCCTATGTACAATTTAAGGGGGGGAGAGTGGAGGGGAAAGAAAGAAATACCTCTGTTGACAGGCTGCAGCAAACCCTTAAAAAGAGAGAGAGGAGAGAGAGAGAGAGAGAGAGAGACACTAGCACCAAAGCTAGGAGGGAGCTGTGTTTGTCTTTAATAAACCAAGCACTGTTCCCTGGAAAGTATTTAGCATTCATAGATTTCCATTTGTTCACATCTCAGGCTGCTGCTGCTACCCTGACTCCACTCAGGCTACAAACAGAAAATCCTGAATTTATTAAAAAGAGGGGTGTAGAGTGTAGACAATGTGCAATTATTTTTTTTTCCAATCATAGGAATACATTTTGGAAAAACAATTTAATCTTTTAACTACTGACACTGCACTGGAGATCACAGTTTTGGGGCCTGATCCTGTTCCCACTGAAGTCAATGACAAAACTTCCTTTGCTTTCAAAGTGGTCAGCCTGCATTCATTAGGCCAGAGACCCATATGAGAAGACAATGGTCATGTTGCTGAGTAATGACTAAGATCGGGCCCTTGATCACCTCATAGGCCTCCTGCAAACACTAACCTGTATTCCTATTCCTATTGGCTTAAATCTGGCTACTCACAATAGCACTTATGTTGATTGGGTGTTTCAGAACTGTGGACCATAGTTTTTAACTATTTAAAAAGGACTGAAAAGCAGAAGGGAAACAATTACAAAGTCATTATATTTCTCATATCCTGCCCCACCACCCCTCCCCCCACAATAAAAGAAAAGATGGAAAATATACAAAGTAACCATGTACTAATTTAGTCACAACTAGACACATAGTGAAATATTTTTTAACCACCACCGATAAGGACTCTTAAGAAAAGCCTATGAGATCAATAAATACTTTAGGTGATTATGATTACTATTACAGTTTGGAGCCTTATGGGGTAAAGCTTTTCAAAAAGGTGTTGGTTCAGAGTGGAAGGTTCTAGCTGGAATTGGGTCCTGTTAGGATCATTTGGATGTTGTGTGTATTTGATTATTGTATGGCGGAGGGCTTTTGTTTTTATAATTGTCCATACACCTAGAGTTGCTGTTGATAGGCAAAATGGATACATGGAAAGAATAAAATAAAATATAAACAAAAGTGTTTTAAAAGATCATTATGTATAGAGGGAGGGGGTGAGTGGAGAACCACAAGCAAGGAAAATCCACAAAGAAAATAAAAATTCAGCACCCCATTCACTCTCTAACTTAGTTTCCCTCTGAGCAAAATGAAACTCTTTTGTGCCCTCTTATGTTAAGTATAGATCACTGTCCTCTCCTCTATTCTCATACTCATACACACACCCCTGATTTTCAGAGGTGCTGAGCACCCACATCTTCCATTAACTTCCAAATGGAGCTGAGGAGCTAGTGCCTTCTGGGGGGGAAAAAATCAAACCCAAGTATATTTCCCTATTCACAAACATACATACGGTGCCCGACAAATGCTAAAGGTGTGACAAACCAATAACAAGGAAAGAATAAGTTAAGATTAAAATCTAAGAAACAATCAGCCCTGAAATCCTGTATTTGTGAAGTTGCCTATATGCTTCCTTGTGCTTTTTTTTTTTTTTTTTTTTTTTTGCATGAGTGACTATAAGAAGAGGTCCATAATTTGTTCTCAGTTGTAGCATTGTAAAACCAGAACCTACGTTAGCTTTTATAAGACTGCCCATCACCATGGTACTTGAGCACCTGACTCCAGTGGAATTACTCTGGATTTACAGCAGCATAACTGAGAGCAGAATTGGGTTGAATCACTTTGCCCTCTTTTAAGAGCAGAATTGGCCCTGTTCCTGCAGTCACCACACAGGCATCGCTCCCACTGAAGTATTAATGTCTGAGGGATTTAAGAGGTATTCTTCATGGCCATGAGCATTAAGGGAAGGCACTAATTTAGTGCTTAAATACCTCACATAGCCCAAAGAAGAATCGACTGGAAAATGTATTTCAGTGGTAAGACTGAATTTCCTTGCTTTTGTGATTTTAATAGAGACCCTTAACCATATTTTAATAATTTTGTGGTTGAATTGCCTTTGCTTTTTTATGTTATTTGAAAAGGAGAAAATCTGACACTTTTTAAAATTTCAATTTTAAATGTTCCCACGGTAGCAATGTTGTTCTCTCTTTTAGGAAAGACATCATTTATCAAACTGGTCACTTTAAAGCAAAATCACTGAGAGCTAGGGACAGTGTCTCACTTTACTGTAGAATTACTCCAGAGCTAATTCAGGATATGAAGTGGGTTCACACCTAGACTGAGTTTGACCAAGAAGCTTTAAAAACCTTTGAACATAAAACTTTTAGGGTTGTTTTTTGGGGGGAGGGGGGTTGTTTTAATGGAAATTATGCCACAGCTTCAACTAGAGCAGGGTGAAACCATCTGACCATATTATGCCCTGGATTTATGTAGCAAAACTGCCACTGATATCAGTAGCAGATCCACAAATGGAAGTCAGCATGTATTATATGTTTCACTCATCCCACAACAAGGTAAGAAAGGCACAGTAATAGGAGCTGATGACCTTTTGCAGTCTATTTGCTAAGGGTCTGATTCTGAAGCACACACTGGTAACTTGTGAGCAGTCCCATTTAATTTAGTGTGATTACCCATGCCACTATGAGTACTTCATGTGCATGTTTGCAGGATCAGATGCAAAAGCTCACATCCTATAAAAATATATACACAACCTTTATGCATGTGAGTGGTCCCCTTGAACTACTCATTCGCATAAAGTTCCTGCAAATATATATGTAGGATTGTATCAGGACCTAAAATGTGCATTTTTCCCCTTTCTTACAAGAAGTATTATGTACCCAATAGATGAGAAAGGCTCCACAGTAATTACGTATTTAGGATATGTGATAGCTGTTGTTAAGATCCTTAAGAGTGACTGTGGGATAAAATTTACTTTACATGTGTAACAGCCAATTTGTAAACCACCATCTCTCAGCTGTTTTTAATTTTATTTTTTAAATATCAAAAGCAATTAGACCATACTATGGCCCAGATGCTAAATAATTCCAAAATCAAAACGATTCTTAAAGCAGTAAGCATCAATTTTTTTAAACTTGTAAATTATGAAAATGGCCAAACTAAATAAACTTTTGTTTTAATATGCTAAAAAGGAATAATAATGAGAGGTTTGAACCTAATATGTAATTTTACATGTCAAATTTCAGACAAAGCTGATTGTTTGGTCAAATTTTAAGCCCCTTGAAGATAGGGTGAGTAATTAAAATAAAACTACAACCTTAGAGGGTTAGATACCTCTGTGATGTGTGCAGTACCAGAACCTAGATAAACTGAACTTGTGAAGAGGTCTGTATATACACAGCACACCCATATGCAACAGGACTTTATTTCAATGGGACTCTGCAAAGATGAGGCCTAATCCTTCATTCACTCACTACTAGGCATAATGCTTA